ACGACGGCGAAGATTCTGAAGTGTTCGAACAGGTCTGGAAGAGAAATAATCATAGTTTCGATGGGGAAATCTTGCTTCGACATGGATGCAGAATCTTTCAAAACCCTACTTCTACGCGGAATGATTCTCCTCTTCCTGGCTGCGATGCCGGCGATAATTCGTAAGTCACCAAGGGTAAGACTCGTAGCCATTCCAACTGACAAATCGAGGTTCGAGAGAGATACAAAATCTTTGAAAGAAATGGTGCAGAGAATGCTCACGGTGCTGACGCCGACACCAAATCGGAAGGATGCCGTGGTGTTTATAAACGGCTCAGGCGATGGTGGAAAAACCGTGGGAGAAGCTCGACGTGTCAAGTGCATGCACATGTCGGGCACTCAGGTATAGCATACTTTGTTTTTTATTTATTGTATCTTTTTATTTTTATAAATTCATTATTATATATGTATGTTGAATTGAATGTCTTATGTTATGCAAGAATATTTTAAAACTGTGATAATTTTGGAGAAACCCTTTTCTCTCATATTAGAGGAAAGTTCAATAGAAATGAAAGATTTTAGGGGATTTACCAATTGATCCGTGTCTCTTATGTATACATTGGAATATTGGGTCACTAAATGATTGATCAAGGAATCGTATGCACCTAAATTTCGAGGAATTAGGGGAGAAGCTGTCTTTGATCTTACTTTTTCAACCTTAATTTGGATAATGGCAATGAGATTTTAAAAGAAAAATGTGTTTATTAATTTTGGATAGTGGTGTAGTTGCATTATTATCGAAAAATGTGTTAATTAATTTGTGTAGTTGTTTTAGGACTCTCATTTGAAAATGTGTTTCATTATTTGTATTTCCTGTGATTAATACTATAGGCTATAGCTCCTAAATTCATTAAAAGGAAGCTAATTTAATTGTACAGTATATACCTCTAGGTTCTTGCCTCTCTCTGGGTATAGGCACAAAGCCAAAACCTTGGGTGTCAACCTGTATCTCTGATAAACGAGTAGATGAGAGTAGTGAGGAGGAAGAGGAGGAAGAGGCAGATGAGGAAGTAGAAGGCGAAGCAGATGATGAGGAAGCAAAAGGTGAAGTAGGTAAAGCAAATGAAGAAGAACAAGGTGATGAGGAGGAAGAAGACGATGACGATGAAAATGGAGATGAAGGGGGAAAAAGATGAAGACGAAGGTGGTGGGGACAAGGAGGAGGAAGAAGGGGATGATTTTGGACACTCAGGAGGAGGAATAGTTGCTATTGGCAGTCTATAGAATAACAATGGAGGATGAATTATCCCATTATTTGACATCACTCCAAATTGAAAATTATGCAAACTCAAATGATTTTCACGAGCCTGTCCTAGATCGTATTGTCGAACATGGTTAGTCGGATGACTGTGATGACATTCCTCTCGAAGATTACTCCATCTTTTATTTCCAACAACTAGGTGACGAAAAATTTGAGACGCTTGATAGTGAGGAGGTGGTTTGGGGGTTTTTCCACGAAATTGTTCATTATGTTGCTGTGTGTGATGGCGGACTTGTATTGAATGTTTACTTGAGAGCTAAGGTAAATCAATTGGTAGGTTGGAAAGGTATTCCAGTGTCAAGTCGTGGTGAGATTGTGGAAATATTAGATGAAATGGTGAAGGATTATTTCATACAACATGCTAATGAGGATGCATACACATACTTTTGTCTATTACTATACTAAACTTCAAGACAAAAGTGAGATTTTGGATGGAGAAGAGAAAGAGAGAGTTGAGTTTAGAGACTGATTGGGAGTTGTTTAGTCATTTAGTTTGAGGGGTGGTTGCAGTGAAGGATGGGGATCTGGAATATTATGCATGGCAAGATGGTGATGAGATGTGGATTCCTTGGAAGCCTCAAGAAGGGGAAGACAGATTCCTTGTGGCAATATATTACATGACCCCAAACAAGTTAAGATTTTACATGCCTAATTGCTTATTGACAGTGAAGTTAATAGCATGCAGGCTTTTCATGACAGGTTACAAGGTCACTATGTGTGGTACCATGAAGACACAATCTATCAAATAATGCCCCAGTCAACATTGTAATGTATCAATTCAGGTACTATACAATCCTAGAAGACGGAGTTGAAGAGCATTTAGACGGCGAGTTACCATGGGAGGAGATGCATAATTTGCTGAATCTGGTGATATTGGAAAATGCAGATGAGGGTTAGCGTAAAACCTGCCAGCTTCCACTTATTTTCCTTAGTTGTTTTTCGGTAGCTTCTTTGAGAAGAGTGAAAGAAAGTGGAGTTTGGTGTGCTGGTGATCTTTCACTCCAGGAGAGTTGATTTAGGATTAGGAATTAATGTGGGGCTACTGGTAATCATCTTTGAAAACAAAAACTTCGTCATCGACAATTTTATTATGATGAGTGGAATAAAACCCTCCTACTTGTACAGCTTTGGTATTCGTCAATCTGATAATTCTACATGATAACTTCTTGTTGAGTTGTGATATGTTCTGTTATTTTGTGGTGTCCTACAACTTCTACTTGACATGGAGGAAAAAGTTTTCTGTATTTTCTCCAAGTCTTTTATACACAAGTAGTGTGAGAATGTGCTTTGCAAATTGGGAGGAAGCAGTTTTCTAATAACATCAAGTTCTAACCTCTACTAGATGTGAGAAGCTGAGTAAAATACTTGGTCCTTACTCACAAGAAGTCAAAGTAACTAGCTTCGTTTAATGTAAACATCACATTTTTCTCCGTCCCCATCGTCACCGTCACATTTTTCTTCCCCTTATCGTCACCATCACCTTTTCCTTTATCATTTGTTTCACCTCCTGCTTCCTCATCTGCTTCACCTCCTTCTTCCTCATCTATTTCACCTTCTTTTTCCTCATCTACCTCTTCCTTCTCACTACTTTTATTTATTCATTTCTTGGACATAAAAGTTGTCATACGATGATTTGGCTTTGGGCCTATACTAAGATCTCTCTAGAAAGAAAGGCAATAACCTGGGACGTATATCATGCAATGAGTTACTTTTAGTTTAATCATAGGATAAATAAATATGCAACACAAATCAATGACCCACATTTTCAAATAAGAATCCAAATGAACCACATCTTTTGTAAACTACATATGAGGTGATAGTTGATGATTGGGCTTCTTCTTTAAATCATTAAAAAGGAGTACAACCATCATTCGCCATATCATGTGGTTTACAAAAGATGATCTACCTAGTATTTTCCTTATCCAAAATTAATAAAGACATTTTCCTATAAAAGTCCTAATGCACTTTTCAAATTAAAATCCCTAAAAAATTCTATTATGTTTCGATGTATCTGATACATTGGTCATTGAGTCCTTGACCAATCATCCAATGGCCAAAGATTCTGATCTAATCATAGGAGACACCAGAGCAATTGCATAGTTGTAAATCCCCTTAAAATCTTGGTCATTTCTATTGAACATTAAGTATTTGCCTTTTGCTCTAATTTGAGAGCAAAAAGGTTTCTATTGTTTCAAAACCCGTAGCTTATCAACAGGCTTAGAATTATCACAATTTTATACTATTCTTGGATAACATTATACAGACAATTGAACATACATATATAATAATGAAATTATGAAAATTAAAATTAAAAGATAAAAACAATAAAAAGCATAGTCATTTATATGCTACACCTGAAGAGTGCCCATTGGCATCGATATGCCCTTGACATGTTGAGTTTCTCCCATGCCTCCTCCACTGTCGCCTTAGCCAATTATTAATAGCACAACGTCTTTCTGAATCGGCGTTGGCGCCATCATCATTTTTCTATGCAACATTTCTTTCAATTTATCCGACCTCAATATCAATTGTGCTCTCATGACATTTTCCAAAGATTCCCAATCTTTCTCGAACCTCGATTTCATAGTTGAAACAACAACGATTCTTACTCTTGCCAACATCCGAATTGTCGTCAGTATCACAACAGGAGGTAGAGCATCATTTTTTAGTAGAGGTAGGGTTTTGAAAGATTCCGCGTTTATCTTGGAGCATGATTTCCCATTGAAATGAGGTCCGAACAGTTCCAAATCGTCGTTGTCGGAGGAAGATGTATGCAAGATCAAGATATTACGAATGCAATGGCATTAATGGAAGTAAGCAAGTAAAGACTACAATCCTTGAGAGATGATGATTTTGGGGACTTGTTTCATGATGTACAAAAGTTTTGTGAGGAAAATGATATTACCTAATATGATTTGCATTTCATAGTTGGAAAATCAAAGCGCTAAGCTCCAAGACTCATAACTTCCATTACTATCGTGCGGACCTCTATTTTCAAGTCCTTGATATGCAACTAGAAAAATTGAATGATTGCTTTAATGAGGTAAACACCAAGTTGCTTCTTTGTATGGCATGTTTGGGTCCATTGAATATTTTTCACCTTTTGATCAACAAAAAATTGTTTGTTTAGCCCAATTTTATCCTCAAGATTTAGATTGTATGGACCTTATGAATCTTCCAATTTAACTTGACAAATACAATCATGATATGAAGATGCATAGTGAGTTTTCATCATTGAAAGGAATTAGTAATCTTGCAAAGGAGTTGATGCAAATCGAGAGCTGTGCAAGCTACAAGTCTATATAAGCTTCTTACATTGGTTTTGGTCCTACCGGTTCCAACCACTTCGGTGAAGAGATTTAACTCTTAACATTAACTCACTTCTCACAAGAATTCTCATAAAAGTCGAATGTATAGAGGCACAACATAAAACTAAAAGGAAATCATTTGTACACCATTTTTCTTCATGTGCATACTGTGTTGATTTTGTTCGTTGATTTTTACTTTATTCGATTTAATAGTCAGAAATGTACATATCGAAAAAAAAATGCGTTGAAAATAGTCCCAAAACTAAAATTTTGGTCCAAATATACCTGGAGCGGAATCAGCATGCGCCTACAAATGCAGTTGATCAATCAGACTCTTCATTGCAGCAAAATTATAAAATCAACACAAATTATGTTACACGTTTATTTTCTTACATAAAATTAAAAACTCTGTATTTACATATGAAGTGACGATTGGGACCCCCTACCAAACTTACAGAATGCTAAACACTCTGTAGTGCAACACTATTTACATAGTAAGGTACTTGCACAAAACCGAGAGAAAAACAACGAAATCTTTTTTCTTACCCTATCACCAATTGTATACAACCATGAGTGTTTCTCTCTTATCATACTAAAGTAACACATGATTGTATATACCTGTTGCAGCTAAAGTTTTTTCTGCTTTAGAGGCCATGGCAAGAAAACCTAATTGAAGAACAAAACAATCCTTTTCATCATGGCCACAGCTTTTTCATTAGTGGGTTGGAGCAAATGGAATACATGGTTCTCCTCCTTTGTTTTCCATACCTTTACAACCCCTTTCCATCCACTCCTTCTCAGTGCCATACTATAATACCTTCCCCTATCATACAACGAATCTTTCTCAGCAACAAAAACCAACACATTTTGACACCCCAAGTCCCTCAGTTTCGGATCCTTAACTGGGTTGAAAAGTGGATCATCAGTTCCACTACTCAACGGGTTTAAAAAACGCCACAGACCGACCATATATATTCTTACAATTGGTGGCATTTTTAACTCTGCCCTACTAAGTTCTGTCCCCCAGAAAAATGGATGCACCAAGACTATCCCATTGAGCTTGAACCCAGCTAAGCCCTCTGTGCCCACTTTTAAAGCCATGTGGTGTGCTATGTTAGCCCCAGCGCTGTCACCGGAGAAAAACACACGCGTTGGATCTGCATATCTTTTCAGCCACTCTTCGGAGCTGTTTCCATTAAAATGTGAAGCAACCCATTCGAGAGTGGTCCATGAATCTTTGTAAGCAATAGGCAGAGGGTGCTCCGGGGCAAGCCTATATTCAACAGAGACAGCAACCACATTGGCCATGGCAACTAAGGAGTTAACGTAGTTGTGATAAACTGGAGAAAAGGCACTTTCAACACAGAAGCCACCTCCATGAAAATAGACAAGAAGAGGGAGCTTTTGGGCTGAGTTGGTGGTGGAACTGGGGAGGTAAAGCCTCGCAGATATGTTTTCCTTATGTGAGATCACAACGTCTTTTGATTGTACGCCAGTTTTGGGATCGAGCGATGGAGGAACCTTTAGTTTACCCATGAAACGCTCAATTGTACCATTTTTGTATATTCTCATGAAGGGGAAGAAATCATACGCTATTTCATCATTCATGCTCGGCATGACGAAAGAGAGGAGAAAAATTAACACAAGTATGGAGATTGTAGGCATTTTTCTTTCTTGTGGGTGTGAAGACAGTTGAAATATGTTGGTGGGTGGACGTGGTGGATTCTACGTTTTAGATTCTATTAACAATCTGGTTGGTGATCATTCCAACAATTTGCGTTTCTTGTTATGCAAGTCATGCATATGTTGGCTTCAATGAGGGCAAATACTTGTTAAATATACCATTTTATGTATTAAAAGCTAATTTTACCCGAAACCCTTAATTATGACGTAGTATTAATATCATTCCACTTAATGTGTGCCACGACAGGGCAAGGCAGTTATGCGGGAAGGTATGTGGCTGAGAGCAGTTGCAATTGGTGATTAGTGATGTGGTAACTCGGTGGTTGTGGTTTGTTGGCGGTTGTCTAATAAACTAGGTGGTCATGGTTTAATCGGATGGTCGTCGTCCGTTTTTTGGTAAATGTAAAAATGCTACAAACAAAAACCCAAAGGGAAATTTTTTTTTTTTTTTTCGTGGTCCTTGTGGTGGCAGTGCACTTTTAATGTCACCCTCATAGTGAAAAATTTGTTAAACAAAACAATGTGGTCATTTCCGTTAGCAATTGAGGTGTTAGTGCTCCCGCCCAAAGTTGGGCACAGTCCTTCACGTGATGTTCACCTCCCGCACCACACGCTCATCTTGGATCCAAGTTAGGTGTCCAGTCCTCTCGTACAGACCACTTTAGGTGGTTCCGACTCGTAGGTGACCCGCGATTAGTCGCCCAGCCTTCACGTGATCGTAGCACTTGAGCGTACTTATTATACACCCAGTCCTGTCGTATAGACCACTTTAGGTGGTTCCGACTCGTGTGCAGGTATGGTTAGTGAGATGGAGATTTGAGCTCTAGATTCAGTTGTATAGGTCACGTTAGGTGACTCCAGCTGACAGATTTCATGGCATTGATTTGATATTTCCTTAGCACTTGCATTCTATTTAGAGGCATTTAACATGGCATATTTCCGAGCATGATTTATATATATATATATATATGTATATTATATTTTCTGGGAAGTATACAGGTTTTACGGTGAGGGGTTAGAATCTTGTTTTTGAAATGGTTTTTGAAAAACTTTGTTTTTGCCCACTCACACTTTTTGTTTTGCGCCCCTCCAGGTTCTAGTTGGCTAGCACTCTTGGTGGCTCCCCAGAGGAATTTTCCCGGCATATCTGATAGATTATCACCAATGTAGGACCACCTTCGGGTGTGTTTATGTAGTGTTGTTTCTCCCGGACTACATTAGGTCTTTGTGCTCTGAACTTTGTTCTCACACTTACGCTTGCACATGTATGTTCTTACGTTGTGTATAGCTGGCTTTTATTTATTCGTACTTTTATTATTATTTTATTAGTTTCTGCACTATGCACATGGTTACGTCACTTCCACGTGACGGCCAGCATGCCCTGATCTCGGTCGGGGTGTGTCAAATTGTCTTTTCACAATCTTTTGATTGACAAATAGAATTTTGTTAACAAGTAGTTTGGATTATTAAGCTTCGTTAAAATGCTTTGAATATTTGTCACTAAGCAACGGGGTTTAAGGTATTGGCATATAGTTTCATAAATACATAGCCTTTATGGGAAAGAATTTTCAATTTTTTTTTTTAAATGGAGATTAGTTGTGGGGTTTATCGAACTTCAACGATCTAAATTGTTTAGTTTTCAAGTTGCACCTCATAGATTATCATTGCAAAATATTAGCAAATCGGAAATATTTGAAGTATCTAATTGAGTATAAATAAATTGACGAACACTATGTTTTAAGAAACATTGAAATTTCATCGTAACAATTAAATAGGCAAATGGTTTCGGGTTGAATTGAATTTTTGTAAGGATGATCTATAAATCGAGATTTACAGATAGATGATTAGAATTGTTGAAGTTCAATAGGGAGTGAGTTCTTCAAGTCTACAACTAATCTCTATTTTTGTTAAAAGAGGGGATCCCTTCTCTTAAACGGCTATTTCATAAATAATAGAAGATTTGTTGAATATTTTGGAAACTGTTCAAACTACACTACTGAATTTTTTTTTTATTTTTTTATTTTTTGATAATGGTCTCATTCGAGGTTTAAGACTCAATTATAACTTGGCTGTTTTAATTAAATATGTTATTTACACTATAAAAAAAATCATCATGCACTTATCAGCTTGTAATCGACTAATGCTTGGGCTTACTTTGTTTCTTTTACGCACCAAACTTTAAGGCTTTCCACAGTGGCCCAAAATTGAGTTTGGTTAGTATATAATACAACTCAATATTGTATTATCTTAGCATTGTATTATTAATCCAAGATGTTAAAGTAATTTTAAACTCAAGTCATGCAAGTTCTTGTCCTTAAGAAGCTCGTGTTCAAGAGGCGGCTAGACTCTACTTAGGTGCACCTAAGAGTTTTTATCATGGATGGCCAAAATTTAAGCCCCAATTTCATAAATAGCAGTTTTTATAAACAAAAATTCAAACATAGCCAAAACCACAAGTGAATAGACTCAAATACCCTCAAAATTAAAACATCAGAAACCTAAAATCTAAACCCTACTAGATATGGAAATTTCATAAGCTTATGAATAATTCTGGATTCACTGCCAAAAACAATTGTTGTATACGACTATATCAACCTATGAATTTAATTATGCCATTAATAAAAGGGCATTGCATATCAGAAAAATCAGTTCTGTTTGATCTTAATGAAATAGTAAAACTCTCTGTCTGATCCAACCCCGCCGATACCACAGACGACAGAACAACTAAATTCTAGTGATTGCCATTAACTAAACTTCATGAAGTTGATTCCGGGGTGAAAAGGAAAATTAAGAAAATCCATTAACAATTTCTACAATGAAAAGAAATCATTAGTGAAAGCAAGCCAAAAAGCTCCATTCAATTCCTATGACCCAATATGCTGATTACTACCCTAATTTGGTCAAAGTACGTACCCATACCATTTTGGGGGGATTTACACAAGTCAGTTTTCTACGATGAGAAGTAGTCAGTCCTCTTATATGTGTATTGGATGACTTAGATTAAGAATGGACTCTAATATCTAAGGACTTCAAGCATGTTGTAATTGGGAGTTAATTTTTTTCAAGATTCTAAAAGACGCTAGGCGTTAGTCAGGCAGTGGGCTGGAGCCTAGCGCCTAGGCGAACCAGACGGATTTAATTAAATCTACGATGTTTCGTATAAATAAGTGTCTATTTATACTTAATATATATATAATTTCTTCATAAACTACAAAATAGAATTACATATATATTATGAGCTATTGGAACATAATGAAAACATCGGGAACAAACATATAATATGTGTTCATTCAAGTATTCAACAAGTCTCTTACAATTTATTGGAAAAAATAAAATGTAAAATGAAAGTTATCTATTTTCTATCTAAGTGAGTTGCAACCTAGGTAGGTGCTTAGGCGGGTTTAGGCGGGTGCCTACGCAGTCTAGGCAGCCACCTCAATAGGTCCAGGCGTCCTTTCTTAATTTTCAAATGCCTAGACATTACTTGGGGCGGTGGCTAGTTGCCTAGTGCCTAGGCGGGGAATTTTTAGAACAGTGATTTTTTTTTTAAAAAAAAAAAAAACGGACATTTGTGAAATTAGAGACTAACTAATTTTGGCCATATATGATAAATTCTCGTGTAATAATTATCGAACCTTCACCATATACATGTCATCATCGAAACTAACTAATTAATGAATCTTCACAATATGGCATATACATGTCATTGGCTTTCAAGTCTAGTTACTTGAAAGTCAAGACAGAAGGTGGGAGTCAATGTTGCAGCAATTTCTGAACTAGTCCTTCAATTTATGGTGTAGTGCTATCCTTGAAGAGGGGGTTCTATTTCTATCTTTAATTTCAAGACTTTAGGTTTAGGTCGCTTCTTTAGGTTTATGATAGGCTGGGCCGAGTATTTAGATTTGAGTGCGAAGGGCGAGCATACCGCCTCAGTCATCTAGCCCAACCACATCAACAATTCAAAGAGTTTAGGTGGCTTCTCTAGGTAGTACGAAGAAAATAATTTCCTAGCAAAATATTTTATATTGGAAACTGCAAATACAAGTTAGGAGTTTCCCCTGAGACAAAAAAGTTGTAAAAGGCATGAGGACACTTTTAACCTAGTAAAGGATACCCAGGAATTGTTCAGTAGATAGTTACTGTCAAAGGTTCCTTCATAGCTACGCAAATCCACAACGGTAAACGGTACTATCTGCTCTGCAGTAACACGTTTAATTATTTGAATTCCATGACAGAAGAAGCCCATATCCTAAACAAGGTGAAATTCAAGTGTTCCGAAAATAGCCACTGTTAATTTGCTGCTTTTTCTGAGAGGTCTCATTCAGTGAAGAGAGGTGCTATCAATTGTTTGAAGAGTTTAGGTCGCTTCTTTAGTGCTGCTTTGATATCCAATGGCGATCCCACTGCAACCACAACCCCTTTATATTTAACTGCGTCGAGTGCATCTGCAAATTTCTTGAAGTCCTTCAAGCTGTGATCAAGGTGAAGGAATAACAATGTAAACATATTGTGTCATCAATGTAAATCTTAACATGTATGCACCTTATGTTGTCGTAAGAAAATCTAAATACGAATCAAATATTAACTTCTGTTACATGCATCATGTGAGCCATCCATGGCCGCCAGAAATGAAATGGAACTGCAATGATTCAATGAAAATGATGATGCTTTCACTTGGACAAATGTAAGTCGTAAATTTTCATCAACTAATGTCAGATTAACATGTACGGCTTCAAATTCCCTTCTCTTTGCCATCCGAATCTAGTTATAGCAGTAGTACCGCTTAAAACTTCATAAAATTTTTGTAAAGATGACAGCCTTAGTACAGTGAAATCCCTGGAATGCAATGGTTAATATCAGCTAAAACAAATCCTGTCCCTCTTTACCTGGTTGACAATATCTCTTTATGTCTCTTTTTCCTTTCTTCTTCTGTGACTCCCATTAAATAGTCCTCCAGGAAACTGCAGCAAAACAAAACAAAAGGAACGGTGAGAAAAATAAGGAGTAAACTCAGAAAAACTTGTGAAATGATCATCACCCAGCTTTTGCGGAAGGTTGTGTGCATTAGATTCAA